CCGTGTAGCCAGTCCCCACGGTGAGACCCGAATGGGGAAAAAAAAAGTCAATTTATGGGGAGCCCAGGTTGGCGGCAACGGGAACCGGTCCCCAAGCCCCATATCGACATGGCGTCTTGGCAGCTGCGTCCCCGATGCACTTTCTCCCGCTGCATTCAGTGTTTTGGTTTCATCCACATACGCTTGTGAATCTTTGTTCTCAGTAATGAATTTTGCTAAGTATCATAATAGGAGTAGCCTGACAGATGAAAGTAGTAGCGTATCTCTGAAGCTCTCCATTCTTCTGCCCTCATGCGTGTCTCCTTTCTTCGCCTTCGCAGAATCACACGATGAGCCAGCACGCACAGTGAGGGACCGCGCGACAGGACACCTCTCGCGGAAGGCCTGCCGGAGACGCCGTGCGGAGGGCCATTTGAACATTACATCCAATCAAAGTGTCATTTGCAACCCAGATGTAAAACTCTAATGATTTGGCCATGAGGCGCTGCTATTATAAGCAGCTGGAAATGAATATTAATGGCAGAGATTAAAAGTATTCCATGCTCAGTATTTTTTATTGCCCTGCTCCAGCTAGCGCGCTTTTAGACTTTCTGCCGCAGACTATGTTTCTAGAGTTAGAGGAGCCCGCTTTTTTGAGCCTATTGTCCTTTGTTCCTTCATGTATTATATTGATAGTTTTTAAAGAGACAGAATTAGTGTTTTTGTTTTTTTTTCTCCTCTCTTTGGCTTCTTTTTCTTTCTTGTTTTTCTCCCTTCTCTCCCCACCGCCCCCACCCCCCCAACCCCCTTCGGTTAACTACTTTTTAATTGCAGTTCTAGATAATTGTGCATTGTGACGTGATTGCTTGGCGATTGTCGGAATATCTCCTTTCCCTTTTTTAATTAAAGACGAATGCTTTGATTGGATTTGCCAGTTCGCCGGACAGTGATTACAACTGTGTAATGAGGAGCACCGGTGTCAGAGCCACTGGAAGGCCTGCTTAGAAACGCGGCTGTGGGCCGCGGCACTGGTGCAGTTTAATAAAAGGGAAACTCGCTCTCGGCCTCGGCTGCCTGCTTCTCTCCTCCCAGGGTGGGGCCCTTGCTGGGGGGACGGAGCGGGGGGTCCCCCGTGGGGCGTGTCCTCGAGTTCCTGTGGGATCGCACATGCCGGGGACCCGCACACAATACACCCAGCTTCCCTTGGAAAAGAGGTGCAGCCACCTGGTGCCCGCGCTCAGCCCAGGGGAGCTGTGGGGGCCGCGGAGTGGGAAGCCCCCTAAAGATGAGATGCTCTGCTCCTCCCTTTGACAGAGGGGGAAACTGAGGCCCCGGGGGAAGTGGGCGGCTCCCCCACAGCCTCGTAGCAGGTGGATGGCTCACACCTGCATCTGCTTTGTGTCCTGTGTCCCTGCCCCCTCCCCTCCCGCCCCCAGGGCTGATGTAGGCAGTCACATGGTTAACCCTTACCTGGCCAGGCATGGGGAGGTGGCAGGGACTGGGGGTTCCAGGAGGGAGCCAGGTAGGGGCAGCAGGTTCCCTCCCTCACAGAGACCGGTGAGGGGTGCTGGTGCAGAGACCCGTGGTGGGTCCAGGACACCAGTGGGGCAAAGGGGGTGCTGAGGGTAAAAGGCTCAGGGCCCCCCCCTCCCCCCGCTCTCAGGGGCCACCTGCATTTGCCATTCCCAACACTTTGCACCTTCCCTGCCTCAGCTTCCCCGGGCCCTGCTGGCGCCCCAGGGCCCACCCAGCACCTGGGCCTCCCACCTGGACCTCCTCCCACACCTCTGTCCATCATGCTGGTGCTCAGCCAATCAGAGGCCAGGGTTTCGGCACCTGCCCGGGGAAGCCCTTCCCTGCTAACTTTTCACAAGAGGCAAGGAAATTGGTTCTTCCCTCCGCAGAGCAGAAACGAAGCAGGCAGACAGATTGCGCCTGATTATAAGGTAATACAAAGTCACGGGCGTGGAATGGGGAGCCATTACCCAGCGTCGTCTGACTCCCGAATCTGGGGCTTCCGGTGACCGGTGACCGGGAAGAGAGCCCTCCTCTGCCACCCGGTGTCACCTCCTCGCGCGGGTGGGGCGCTTGGCTTTTCTAAAGGCATTGACACCTGCCAATCACAGAGCAGACTCCACCATGTCGGACACAAAGGAGCGGCTGCCCTTACAATTCAGGGCTCCTGCCTCCTGGAAGCCAAAGGTAGTGAACCCCCATGTTTAGCCCCTGGAGTCGGGAAGACCTCGAGGGAGGCATCGGTGTTCCCCCAAGTGTGGCCGGGGCTGGGCCGGGCTGCCCTGCATCCACAGCCAGGCCTGTCGTGCCCACGGTGCCCACGGAGCCGTGACTGTGGGCAGGACCTGCGTGTCCCGGGCCCCCCATCACTGTCTCTGGCCCCCCTCCAGCCTGGATCTCATCCCCAACCACACAGAGCCCAGGTGAGTCCTCAGTAAGTACCAGTGGGAAGATCTGATTTGACGGTTGGCGGCGGAGGGCTAAATTAGTCACTGCCCCCATTAAAAATACAGCGGGGGGCTTAAGAGCTTTTCTCGCCATGTGGGAGTCAGCAGCGGAGCGGAGGATGCCTTGGGTAAGGCGAGAGGCGGCCTAGGGGACCACGAGGTAATGAGGTTTATGGCGATGGCAAGGCAGCCGGGGAACCCCACTGACTCCCTCGCCTGGCCCCATTGTTCTCCGGCTGGCTCTGCCCCCCGCCCCTTCTGCTGAGAGCCCCTCTGGCTTCTGGAAGGGAGGGGGATGAGAGGGGGACCCCGAGGCCCTTCCTGGGGCTGGATCTGTCACCGTCAGGCCGGGAGGTGCAGGACTGTGAACCTGTGCTTTGGGGACAGCCCACCTCCTTCCAGTCAAAGGGTTTGGAGCTGGGACCAGGCAGCTTCCCGCTCAGGCCCCAGGGGCCTGGGACAGTCACTCAGAGGCTCACGTGACGGTCTGAGGACCCGGGAGCGGCTTGGTCATTGTTGAAGGGACGGAGCACCCTGGCCCCCCACCTCCTGCCAGCCTGGAGGGGTGATGGAGCCAGGCCCTAGTCACTGTCTGGATGCAGGAGCAGGATGCGGCCACGGAGGGTGGGCGAGGTGACTGGGAGCCAAGGGTTCAAGGTCACTGGGTTTTGCCTGTGTAAATTGTCAGTATCTGGTGGCTCTGTGGGTGGAGTGGTTGCCCAGGCTGACCTCGAGGCCTCAGACCCCTGTCACTGGGTACCTGCCCAGGGCTTCTGGACGCAGGTGGCTAAGGGTTTTTTTGCTTTTTTTTTTTTTGCTTTTTTTAAAAAATAAATTGTTATTGATTTCAGAGAGGCAGGGAAAGGGAGAGAGGTAGAAACATCAGTGATGAGAATCATTGATTGGCTGCCTCCTGCACACCCCCCACTGGGGATGGAGCCTGTAATCCAGGCATGTGCCCTTGACCAGAATCAAATCCGGGAACCTTTAGTCCCCAGGCTGGTGCTCTATCCACCGAGCCAAACCAGCTAGGGCTAGATGCACATTTTAATAGCCATGCCAGGTCTCAATGGCGAGCGGCACCCGCATCACCGGGGTTGATTCGAGGTGCTGGCCCTCTGGGGTGCGCCTTTGCCTGGGGAGACCTGGCCAGGCGGAGCTGGGAGGAGCAGGTGGACCTGGGACCCGGGTTTC